TGATTTGGTGGCGCACCACGACCTCCTTGATTTTTAGGCTAACTGCAGGCGGACATCTGACACATAACTTCCCATGAAAAATTAGGACGGGGAAAACAGGTTCCCATGGAGAAAACCCATGAACTGAAATAGGAAAACCCATGAACTGAAAGTGGTATATCTCACCAAAACAAAATCTTACCGAACCTGGTCGTGTGGCGCCTCAAGCGCCTCCACATGACAAGCTGATCCCAAATCCGGTCTTCATTTTCTACCCACACTTTACGTTCCCGAGATGCAGTGATGTGAAATTCGTTTTTCAAGTTTCTGGTACGTCGGTTACGTGATCCGCACCTATGTCGCCGACCGAATTTCTAGAGGCAAAATTGTCGCCAGCAGCGTAAGGCGATGCCTTATGACATAAAATGGTGGTGAACTCCATGATAAATGGTACCGAGTAGCGTCATCAGAAATCAGCATATCGCCGAAAGCCTCTTCATCATAATTTTCAACATCATGCACACAACCAAAACACTCAAGTGTACAACGTCGTTCTACTAATGTCTGGATAACTGCTGCTGTTAGGAAAGCAAGCGCACCTATCCTATACTAAGGAATAGCCAAAACACAGTAAGTCTTCTTCCACCCTCGGGTCTTGCCGGGGCCTCACGTTTAAGCTCGGTCTACGACTGACTTTGCTGTCCTCGAGAGCGAAAAAAAAACAGGACCCCGATAGTCAGGGTAGCAGAATACATGGCGGAGTTCGAACCGGTTGCACGCAGCACTGATAATGACGTCCAATATGTAGGCCTCCTCGAGGCCATGCTCTCATATGAAAATCATGCGTGGGCTTCGAGCTTCACCTCAACCATCATCAAACTAACCACTATACCTTAGGCATACTCCGAGCCTGGCGAGACATGTCTTGCCTGGTGGGCGCCTTTCGCCGTGCCCCGGCAAGTATATTGTGTTGAAATTTGTTAATAACTTTACCTTAGGCTGCTAGTTCTTTCTGAACAACATAGTCTCCCCGATAGGAGGGGGAAGGGGGCGATGCGACGCCCCCCCCCCCCGCTATGGCCTTCTGGGGATACTAGTCTGGCATGTTGAGTGGTCTCGCCGAAATTTTTGGTAGCCTCTGAGGCATCCATTGCGCGTGTATTAACACCAAAAACGTGTCCCCTAAATCCTGTATATATATATATATATATATATATATATATATATATATATATATATATGTATGTATACAATAACACAAATGGGCACTTCAGAACCATTATCACCTTCTGTTAGTTCCTTTCACCAGACTTCAACATTGAACCCGCGGTTCATTTCAAGGGATGGAGGGCTGGTCGCTTGTGACTGCTAGTGAGTCAATAGCCTTTTCTGTATCTTGAAACAGTGGTTTCGATAATCACAGGTCAATTTCTAACTGGATCGGATCATCTCGCAGGCTTAGTCTGAATTGTCAATGCTCTCGTTGCTGAGGATAGGATGCTGAATCGCGGCATCGCCAACGAAGTAAACAAGTCCCAAAAACTGAATCCTAGGCCGGCATTCATGACACTGCGAAGGAAATGCCGCCTGCAAAGTTGCAGTTCATTGAAAGGCGCCGCTCACCTTATATCAGTCGCATCGCAACAATTGAAGCAAGCTCCTGCGGCCAGACGGATCCCCTTATTTAGTTAATTTTCAGTATTTTATATTGTTAAGTTTGGGCCCTGAGAGACGCCTGCGAAAAACGGTGAATTGGCCAACCGGCCACGCCATAAGAAACGCGCTGATTTGTCGCCAACCTGTCACCGAAGCGAGCGACCAATTAAAAATCGTATAATTTCGTCGCCGGGTTAGGATGAAGCCTTTTAAGATACCACGGTGCCGTCGGGTACAGTAAAACCCTCTACGAAAAGGTTTGCTAGTGTTGTGTAACGAGATCTATTGCCGTGGAGATATAATGTGTGTAGATACCTCATATTCGCTTTTGCGGAGAATGCTGTATTGCCTCGTCGTGGCTATCACTAAAGCTGTCTGCCAAAAACATTTTTGGCACCAAGCTCCATCTAAGAAAATACTCTTTTTTTTTGGTCACGGACCTTACCCACCACGCCGGAAGATTTTACCAACCCTGCATATTCAGTAAGATTTTATTTTTGGTGAGATATCTCACTTTCAGTTAATTGGTGAGAACCTATTTTCCCCGCCTTATTTTTCACCACTGACGTGTCTAATGTCCGGCTAATCCGAAAATCAGGGAAAACGTAGGGGCCAACGAAATCGGTCCAATTCACTCGCATGTTAATCTGTATGGTAAATAAAGCAATGGGTGGAAACGTGATTTCATTTCACTGTAGCTCAGGAGCATAAAGTGCATGTAGAAAAGGTAGTCCAGATTTGGAAGCGACTTGTCAGGCCGAGTCGTTTGAGGTATAACATGGCCATACTCGGTGAGGTTTGGTTTATGGTGAGATATAACACCTTCAGTTTCTGAGCGAGAACTTGTTTTCCCAATCCTAATTTTCATGGGAACTGGTGCGTCGGATGTCATGCTACAGTTGATCTAAAAAAAAGAAAATCATAGGGGCCGACGAAATCAGTTCCATTGACTCGCGTGCTTATCTTGATGAGAAATAAATCATAAGGTGAAAACTGATTTCACATTCTTGTAACTCTAGGAGAAATATTAATATAGAACGAAACCCAAATCTGGAATCAGCTTGTCATGCCCAGATAATTGAGGTGGCATTCGAACATGTTCGGTAAGATTTGACCTTTGGTGAGATATCTCACCTTCAGTTCGTGGATGAATGCACCTGTTTTCCCGGCCTAATTTTCATATGAAGTGATGTGTCAGATGTCCGGGTACAGTTGATCTGGAAATGAAGGAAATCCTGAGGCCGACGAAATCAGCCCTAATGACTCGCATGGTAATCTCTTTGAGAAATAAAACATTCGGCGAAAAACTAATTTTACATCACTACAACTCAGCAACCAAAAAGGCAAATAGCAGCTCAGCAAAAAAATCCAAGATTTGGAATTAGCTCATTAAGCCGAGTTGTCTGAGGTACCACCACCATGTTCGGTAGGATTTGATTCTCGGTGAAATATCTCCTGGTCAGAGCCTGTTTTCATCAGCCTAATTTTCACGGGAACTGACGTCTGGCTACAGCAATCTGGAAATCAGGAAACTCGCAGAGTCCGACGAAATCGGTCCCCTTGACTCGCACGCTAATGTCTATGGCAAATAGAACATTACCGTGAGAACTGATTTCACATCACTGCAACTCAGGAGAAGAGTGCACGTAGAAAATGAGGCTCCTATTTGGAATCAGCTTGTCATGCCGAGATGCTTGAGGCTACATGCCACCATACTCAGTAAGCTTTGATTTTTGTTGAGATATCTCACCGTCAGGTTTAGGTGAGGTCTTGCTTGCTTTTGCTTGATTTACTTGCTTTACCCGGTCTAATTTGCAAGGAAACAGGTATGTCACGTCGCCAGCGAAAGTTTATCTGAAAATCATCCATCTGTGTTGGCCGACCATGGGCTCAGGGTGGGGAGATGTTTGGCTGGAGTGAAATATTGGTTTTTATCTTAATTTTTGCTGAATTTCTGCGACTTTTTAAACATATATCGGTACGACTTCAAGTAAATTGAACAACAGTGATCCTTTATGGATTTCCGCCATTTCGTGAATATTGACTGATTGGAAGAGAATTTTGTAAAACTAGGCATAGGAACCAAAAATTCTGTATTCCCTGCGTACTGGGGCGTATCGATGTGTTCACCTCACACGAACCGTCAGCATATCACATTTCGAGCGCTTTTTAATTTGCCGCTGGCATGGGCCGACCGCGAGCTGAGCGTGGGCTGACAATGGGCTGTCTTGACACGTTGGCGCTTATCAATAAAACTCGGTCATTGGCACAATCGTTGAACCGTATTTATCCTCATGGTTTAGCCAGCCGTTGACGCAGTTTATCGCTACCCTTTACTCGTTCATCCTTCGACACAGCCATGATGCTAATCGACAGACATGTCATGTCTTAGCTGGTCTCCTTGGATGCCATTCGCGTCGCGGGTGCACGGAGTACGGATGCGTGCAATACCGAATAAGGAACATCATTCACTTGGCGAAGATTCGTGTCATTAAGCTTCCAGTCAGGAGCATGGAGAATTGGGACCGATCGCTTTAAAACGCTGAACTTCTTGGAAATGGCATGAAATGGACTTGTGATACGTTACATAATCGTCATTAAACCCACGAGTTTTACGACTCGAACGAGGCGCGAGCCGGCAGCACGAGCCGGCAACAGCCCAGAGAGGTGTACCTGCCGGGTCACACGTGCCACTGGGTCCGGAGGGCGGCCGCCGGGACCGCTGGAACGTTGACCCGAGAGCCGGCACGCGGGCACGGCGATGCACACAGCTGGCGTCGGTCCCTGCAGAGAGCCGTCTGGGCACATGCCAAGGACGGACCCGACGCCCGCAGCACTAAAGCCTTATAGCTATCGGGCGGAGCGATCCCCGTGCAGAGCCTTCATTCCGACGGCCAACGCCCGCACCACCCGCGAGACCCTTGTTGAATCTGGTGCAGAACCGACCGGTCCACCCGGGGATTTTCCCAACGTTTCCTCGATGAAGTGGGCGGCAAGCGTGATCACTCTTTTCGACGTCAGCGCCCGAGGGCTGGCGTCGTGCCAACGGTTGACTTGGTGCGGTTGGCCAACGGAAACATTGGTGGTTGGCTTGCGGAGGACCGATGCTCGACGCAGCACTCAAAGCACGCGCCACTTACAGCTTTGATCGGTCATTGGTGTTACGGTGATAGTCAGTTACCGCATTGGCAGATGCGGCTCAATGCGCCTCGACAGGCCCAACGACGCCTTCGCGCGTGTCCCCCATCCCCTCTCCCCAACAGCTCCGCACAATGAAACAGGCCAACCGGCGCCGCCGCGCTCCCGTTCCCTTCCAACAGCTCGCTCCGCGCAGTAAAACGCGGCATGCATCAAACGTGGCGTTATATTCCCAAACCGGCAACATTCCAAGCGTCGAGTTGGCGGCGGCAGCATCAGTGAGCCATCAGTGGCGGCGTCGTCAATGGGCCAGGGGCTCGGCGCCGCACTGTCGCTGCATCAGCTCGCTCCACAAGACAATACACAGGCCGCCACGCGGCACTAGCGGCGGCGGACGGCTCGGATGGCGGCGCAGGCAGCTGCCACAGCGCACAGCGCACGCACGCATTACACACAGGCGCACCCAGCGCCGACTCCTGCCCAGGCGCGGCGGCTGGCTCTAGCGCAGCGGTCAATACCGACGACCGCATCTTTTAATCGACAAATGGCGGCAGCGCGACTTCGACCACCGGCGCAAGTGAGCCAGCAGACACGGGCGGTCCGTTTCTGCCCATTGACCTCGCACATGAGCCCGCCCACGCTGGTCCCGCTTCCCGCCGCCGCCTGTTGAGCCCATTGCCGCCCAATTGGGACGGAGCGGCAGACGAGCGGGGCGGCGTGGGCACGGAGCACTCCAGGGGGCGGGGAGCCCGGCCGGCCGAATATAGACGCCGGTCGTCCACCCTGCCCGACTCCGACAGCCGCTCGGCCGCCGCCCAAACTACCACAGCGGACGACAACGCACCACCGTCCGGACAGCGGCAACCCGCCGACGGTGGGCTGGCCTCGCCACAGAGCACACGCAGGGGCCAACACTCAACCACCGGGCTGGCCGTCACCTGGCGCGTTAGTGCCTCCATGCTCGTTCCCATAACCCGGCACGGCAATGGCACGACTGGTGCAACATTTTTGATCAGCCATTGACTACTGTGCATACATGCCAACCCCAGTTAGGCGACAATGACACCTCAACTAAGTCTCACCCAACTCGGCCAGTCCGGCCACCCTAGTCCACGCGATTCGCACCCAAGGTGAGCCAGCGCCGCTCACTGTCTCTCGGCACGCTCGGCCCAGAGAGCCCGTCTCTACCAGCCGCCGCTTCAGCACGGCTGTACCAGCCACCGCTTCGGCACGGCTGTATCAGTCACCGCTTTAGCCCGGTCGTAACAGCCACCGCTTCAGCACGGTTGTACCAGCCACCGCTTCAGTCCGGCTGCACCAGCCACCGCTTCAGCACGGTTGTACCAGCCACCGCTTCAGCACGGTTGTACCATTCACCGCTTCAGCACGGTTGTACCAGCCACCGCTTCAGCACGGTTGTACCAGCCACCGCTTCAGCCCGGTTGTACCAGCCACCGATTCAGCCCGGCTGTACCAGCCACCGCCTCAGCACGGATGTATCAGCCACCGCTTCAGCACGGATGTGTCAGTCACCGCTTCGGCCCGGCTGTATCGGTCACCGCTTCGGCCCGGCTGTATCAGTCACCGCTTCAGCCCGGCTGTACCAGCCACCGCTTCAGCATGGCTGTACCAGCCACCGCTTCAGCCCGGCTGTACCAGTCACCGCCTCAGCACAGCTGGTGTGCTCCTCGACCCAGAACCCGAGTGTACCAGCCAGCGCTTCAGCCCGGCACCTGCCATCTGCACTATACATATTTTGGAGCAGAGTATATAAACAGCATATTCACGCAGCACTATTCATTGCGTAGCTACCCACTTCTTATATCACGCCAGTTTGATGGACAATGCCCCGACAGAGTTTCACGATGGAAGGTAACATAGACGTGGTTTTTGGACAAAATTAGAAAATGCTGCCAAGATGTACTTTGATCAAGCTTTCCTGACCTGGGTAGATACAGAACGCTCCATGTTCTGATGAAAATAGGGTCTCATGGAAACCTTTGATAACGGGATCCGGAGGATGCGTTTTGGGGAGTCAGATAGATGTTTGCTTCACAAGTTTAAAAAATAGCAAATGGCTCGCTGCAGTCACTTTTCCATAGTCCACGTGAGCACGTGAACAGTTTGCTAACGCAAGATGTAAGGCGCACCTGATTATCACAGCGGCCATAATGCCCTATTGCTAACTTTTTTTTACCTTGCTTGAATTATGTGCAAGCAACCTGTAACGATAACCCAAGTATAAATAAACTTTAAACGTAACATGTTGCATCTAGATCCAGTTCAAGGCACTCAAATCCATAGACACTCTAAGAGCACCATGTCTAGGACAGGAGGAATATATCTTCCGCTTCGATGAAGTACCGGCTTAGTTGAAAGACAATTTTAGCCTTAGCTCACGGTTCGGGGGCGTGCGGCCTCTGACTGAAGCGGATAGCAAACTACACAGGCACAACGCACTCAAAAAGCAACTAGACGAAACGGTACTTCGTAGAGAGGAGGAACGCCACGATGTAAGAGCTATGAACGTGATCGCTGACAACTTATCACAAATGGCAATACCAAACGTCTCAGTTTGTGCAAAGTAGCGAAAACTGTGCCAACCAACATGTCTTTGGGAGAATCGTCGCCTTCGGCCAATAACTATTCGTTAACACCGCAACAAGCAAAAATCATTCCGTGGTTGGCTTCCGCTTTTCCAGACAGCGCCTGGGCAATCAGCGGGAACGTTGGAGCACAAGCACCGCAGCCAGCACCACGCGTGGACTACCGGGTTAGCGCGACCCTCACACGACCCGCGAGTTTGAGACAACACTTTGGCGTCACAGAGTCAGCGCCTCTGCAATTAAGTGGCAGCGTCCGCACCGCCGGCGGCGTCGACAGGCGGGCCCGGCGGGCCGCGCTCCCAGGCGGCGCGTGACGCTGCAGACGGGCGGCCCGCTGCGAGGCCGCAGTAGCTCAGCCAACTTAGTAACCGCCGTCCCTGAAACACACACACGCATACAACAATGGCACTACCCTCCCCAGCACGTGCTGGCAACTGGCGCCCAATGCGGCACATTGGTGTGACATGCAGCCGACGGGAGCATGAAGCTCAGAAGCGCATCTGCCTTCAGCGAAAAATAACAGCACATAATGCAGTGACCACAGTGAGTGCTGGCAATTAGCATTTGCAGGAAAACGTCACTAGACAAGTGCGCTGAACAAAACGGAGACAAATAAGAGTACGACCACTTACTCGGTACGTAGAGGCGGAATCAGATCATCACCAAATGGTACCCATCCTTGAAAGAGTGTAAACGGTAAGCATTACGCAGGCGAGGCATAAGCAACGACAAGCCGTGATCGAACAAAGTCGTGCTCCCCTAGGCTCACCAAACGTCAAATGCTTTACACATGCAGAACAGCCTCTCGAACAGGATCGAGCTGGTGCACTATACAGACAAAAATCCGACACTCAGAGTCATGGAATCATCTAAAATGATCACAGCTTAGCTTAGCTCAACTTAGCTTCCCTTAGCTTAGCTTAGCTTAGCTTAGCTACGCTCGGCACAGCACAGCCTAGCGATGGTACCGACAGATGAGCTAACCAATTCCACGCGATCCTCATCGTTCAAACATGAAGCAGATACATTCTGATAACACTAAAAACACAGTGATAACACATCAAGACGCATATGGCCTAAGCAGTGCATAGTTCAATGCCAAACATTTCCGATGGAAAAGGAACTTTTATGAGTAACTCAAGGTACATAAGTAGCATATGAATATACACTAAACTGTTATTAACAGAGTTTTTGCACAGTCAGGACACAACAATAAAGCTAACAATGGCGGCTCGGAAATAATAAAAACTGGTTTGTCATAGCCGTGCATGGGAAACATGTTTACCAAGGCAACTCGGTGAATTCCACAACATGCTGAGGTCCAAATGGATCCAACTGTCACGTAATTCCTGGGAAATTTTTGAAAACTTCGTGGCGCATTTATACTTCTGGACTTTATTGCGAAACCCTCGGTATAATTACCACAGCTAACATAGGCCATAAATGTAGCTGACTACTGGATCTACTGCGTGGTCGCCTCCTTCATCACGCTTGTTAGGTATCAGTAATTAGGAACCCAATGCCGCCAAGCAATGCACATTCAAGTCAGAGTAAAAAAATGAGTGCGATACTCAATGACAGAAGCGGATGTAAGATAGCTAACACCCTTCGTTTGAAAAAGACCAACGAAACGAATGTGTGCTCGATAATTTTCCCTTCAACCAATTCCTTAACTAATATATATATAGGTCATTACTCATCATATTCACCCAGCTCGGCTTGATATCGTTTATCAAAAGCGAGCTTACGGACTGAAGGTCTTAACACCAACCAACCGAAAACTGCAAGGGTTTAGCTGGCCGGGTCTGGCCCGCTACAGTCCGACCAATAACGCCTTTTTTACGGACTGAGACCTTTGTTGCAAAAGAAAACAATGCCGTGTCCATTTTCCGAACCAGCAGTATAACTTTTTAAAGGCCATGCTCTAGTATTTTCAAGGCTCTTAACTGCAAGGTAGTTGATGCCGGCGCATTTTTTAGACTTCGCGGCATCGTCACCTTTTCACCTCTTCATTGGATCAACATCATATTGAATAACTGCTGTCAATATGGAGCATGCTACGAATTTAGCCATCTTATAATTACACACATTCCAAAGACTGAAAAAGGCCGAAACCTTAAAACGGGTGAATAGAGCCTCACATCATACGGAGCATACCGAGCGCACCGGCTACGCACTAGTCACCATCGCCCTCAATAGCTGCCACAATATCACCTCGAGAAGCGTTCACGTTACGTTACGGGGAGCCTGCCAGCCTGTCGTCCCCCGGTACCTCCAGGCCGGGCCGGGCCGGACGAACAGTTCCTCGAAAAGCGTTCACGTTACGTTACGAGGAACCTGCCAGCCTATCGTCCCCCGGTACCTCCAGGCCGGGCCGGGCCGGGGCGAACAGCTCCTCGGGAAGCGTTCACGTTACGTTACGAGGAACCTGCCAGCCTATCGTCCCCCGGTACCTCCAGGCCGGGCCGGGCCGGGGCGAACAGCTCCTCGGGAAGCGTTCACGTTACGTTATGGGGAACCTGTCAGCCTATCGTCCCCCGGTACCTCCACGCAGGCCCGGGCAGGGGCGGAGAGCTACTCCAGCGTTCTGAGCCGCCAAACCAGCAGAGCCATGCGACTCGACGCGCGCGCCCGCAGCGGCCAGTGCGGCGACGCCAGCGACGCCTACCTCTTGAGCCGGCCGGCGAACGGCTTGCGGTCTTCGTCGGGCGTGTTGACCAGGCTCGAGTACACGCTGACCGTCACCAGGAGGCAGCACAGAAGCACGGGCCCGAAGATGGCGCCCTCAATGCCCTGGTAGAAGATGCCGCCTGCTATGGCCAGGCCGGTCAGGTACGGGTGACCACTGCCGGCACACGCAGGTGACGGGTCAGCAGCGGCACTCGTGGTAGACGCTAGCGACAACATGTGGCTCCTTCTGGCTGAGGAACAGTACAATACCGATATTCACTTTGCCAGCAGCCTGCTGCCAGGATGGCAAAACCTCTCCTGTTGTTGAACCAATTACGAAGCCGGCCATATGGCGGAGTACTTCTTGCAGCACCAGCTGGTACACCCACAACGATGCTACACGGAACGAAACAGCCGCGCCAGTCAGTTACAGGCACGGCCAGCCAGCGGACAGCTGCCTCCTCGCTCTCCCTATCAGCTGCTTCACAATGAAATAAACAAAACGCACGCTGCCAGACATTCCTCGTCCACTACCGGGGCCGCGCACGGTTCTTCGCCCCCGTCGCGCTGCAGGTGGCCCGCGAACCGCGTACACTTGGGTCTCGCTGTGGACCTTAACGCAGCCTTAACCTCGTGGATGGCCGGTGGCCAACATAATCGGTGACCTCGTGTACATGGTCAGCGACCCACCTACACCTTGACCTGACTACACATACCCCTTGACCTCGCTGTAGATGGCCGTGTCGACGAAGAGGATCGGCGACAGCTGGGCGAGGAAGAAGAGCAAGGCGGTGACCGGCTGAGCGTGTACAAGCCACAGCTCCAGCACGGCCGGCAGCGCCGCCCAGTAGCTGCCCAGGAACGGCACGGCGCCCAGCACGGCCGCCACCACTGCACCGCAGAGAGAATGATCAGAGAGGAGGAGGTTCCCAGCTCGGTCGCCACCGCAGCGGCACAGACCACAGCACGGGCGGCGCAGGCGGCGCGGTATCGTCACTGCGACGGGACGCTTCAGAAGAGCAGTCATCAGGCAGCATCAAACGCGCATTCCCTTCTCCAGACTCACACCGGGTGGGGTTTTAACGCGAAAACTTTATTACAAACGAGGAAAATTCTGATAAACTGAAAGCGGGTGGGTTTCTGGAAACATTTCACTGTGCCACATCATCGGTCTAAATATATATATTTAAACCTAAAGCAAAAAAATGCTGAATCCCGCCTCCTAGGACAAAGTCTGGCGGATTCCAGCACGTCAAGGTACCCACCTGACGGCAGATAGACGAACTTGACGGCGAACAGAGAGTGCACCAGCCACGTCCACATGCAGTAGAAAAGAGCCATCTTGAAGGAGGCGACGAACACGCTGCTGACCGCCTCGTCCACGGCCAACACGAACCTGCGCCGGCAGTCGGTTACAGCAGACTTCGGCGCCGGACACACCGCCAGAGCCTCACTCACAACACGCTGCTGACCGCCTCGTCCACGGCCAACACGAACCTGCGCCGGCAGTCGGTTACAGCAGACCTCGGCGCCGGACACACCGCCAGAGCCTCACTCACAACACGCGTAGGTACTCGAAGGTGGGTCTGTTGTGGTGACCGGATCACACCTTCCATGGCATGTGGGCGTGGAAAGCGTGGAAGCTATTGGTCTCGGATGCGTAAGTGGCTCTGGCGGAGATACAGTGGGTAATTTTGGTGGATAATGAAATCGCTCCCAGATCGCAAACATGTCGATGTAAATGCATTTGAGCTCGGCACAACGAGCGACAAACTGACTCCCAACGGTCGAACGCATGCGTAATAACAACTCGACGACAAACTTCTGGAACCATTCAATAGAAAAAGGAACTGACTACAAAAAAATCAGGAGCAGAGAACTGGCTCACCAAAGGCACTGCGCAATTAGTCGCCAGTTAGCTACCCTCGCTGACATATCAGCCATCAGTCAGTACTGTCTCTGCAACTGACCGTAGCAGGACGCTGTGTCACCTCACCTGCTGCTCCCCTGACTGACGGGGCCCATCCTGGCAATCAGCTCCACCGGCTTGTACAGCTTGCCGCTGGAGCTCAACAGGTAAAACAGCGCCGTCACAAACACTATCTGAAAACGGCAGCAACGGAGGCGAAATCAGTACGCGGCCGGGAGGGCACGGCTAGCAAACACCAGCACATGCGTGTCATTGGTTACCGCTGATGGACGTTCGTACGTGGAAGCTATCTATTCGCGCACGGAGAATGAACGTTGAGGCCCTCTGAACGTGAAAATGAAGCCTGAAATTTCTTTGGACATGCTTTACCAGTTACGTCACCGAACGATTCATAATAAATGCTCTGAAATACAGATCAACAGTTTGAACCAGACTACTTCACTGTCAGTGATCTAAAACTGAGCAGTCTGGACTCAAGAACGCACCAACCACAGCAAGATCGTGGGTCATTTGTGATCCGTAAGCCAAGCAGAAATGCACCAGCCATGGTACGGCACACAAGAAGGCGACAGCGCTCAAAACCACGAGTCTCAATACTCATCCAGTGTCTGCAACGATATCAGTGCACTATCTTTCTCATCTCTAGCCTGTTTATCGCAGTTTGATCACTGCAGCCGGGTAGACTGACCATGTTCAGCAGCGTGTTGAGCACGGCAAACCCGCCGCCGAGCAGGACGGAGATGAGCTGGGTCACCACGGACACCAGCATCGTTAGGTTGCTGCGCAGCAGCGTCCAGGACGACTCCAGCACGGCCAGCACCGTGCCCAGGTTTCTCTGGATGGCCTCCTGCGCTCGCGGACGCACCGAAAGCGGACAGTCCAGGGGTCAGCTCTCAGGAATGAATGTTGAAGTAGCGCGGGTCGCGGCTGAACTGCGAGCTACTCGTTCTCGGCGGCCAGAGCTGACGTGCATCAATGTGAGAGCTGAACTCATTCACGACTGACTAGCCGCGCAATAAATCACAAACGAGCAAGAGCCTTGGAGCGCGCTGAGGCACATGACAACGCCCCGAAGAAAAACATTCAGAAAAACCTTCGCAGGACACATGGGCGCATTCCGAATCAGTCAACGCTCAAAGAAGTCTCGAAAGCTATCAGATTATTATCGTACCTTATAATCAGAGGCACATCAACTTCCGTGCACCTGACACCGAAAAACGACCTTGCACAGCAGCCTGCCCACCCGGGCGGCAACGAAGGCTCTGTTTCCATGCCGCCAGTCCGGCCTGACCTGAAGCGTGTCCATGTTGAGTAGGTCGGCCGAGTTGCGAACCCTGTCCACCCAGAGGTGCCAGGCGGAGGCCACCCCGGCCGCGTCCACCACCGGTCCGACAGCCGGCGCCGCCACCATCGAGCCCACCCAGGCCTGGTACAGGCGCTCCCACAGCTCCAGCGTCTGCCGTTCCAGCTGCTCCTGGCTCTGGGCGCCGGCGCCCTTGGTCAGGTCACGCACCTGACGGCAGGTGGGGTCGGGGCTAGGGTAAGGAAGGAAAACATGGGATGGTGCGACCAGAACCAGCCCAGCATCGGTCGGATCACGCCGTCCGAGAGCAAAAGGTGTCCCCGACATCCGGCATAAACAAGGATTCGCGCGACGCTGGTGCTGAGGGCGTGCGTGGCAGAGCCTTTCGCGACAGCATCATCCCACACGCGCGGCAGGCATTGCCATGGCAGGATCAGCCCACTGAACGGCACGACATGCGTGAGATAGGCTGCGAAGTGGCAGCGTGATACGGTTACGGTCTAGAGGCAGAGTTACCGGCCCTGGCCGGCACGCAGGACAATTGGTGACTGGCCACAGATGTTCAGCCTGGCACGATGCGGCCGCGCCGTACAGCACAAGACAGAGACAAAGGCCCAGCCCTGTCCAGATAGGTGGGAAGGCATCATCTGCAACGTACGACTAAACTCGTGTACTATTCCTTTCGTTGGTCCCAAAATATGGAGGCAGGTGTTGCACGCTTGATTTATTTCGCGAAAAAGTCGGCGCTTCGCGACATGAGATACACTACCGACCTGAGCGAGGCGCCCAAGCCACCACTGATAGAGACAGCTGCCCGGCCGCCAGACCAAGCTCGGTACAACACTGTCTTTACCACCTCGGCCACTGTGGGCTCCGGCCGCCAGACCCTCACCGCGCTCGGTACGACACTGTCCTGCCAACCCCGGTCACCCAGGGCTCAGGCCGCCAGACCCTCACCAAACTCGGTACAGCACTGTCTTTACCACCCCTGTCACCGAGAACCCTGGCCGCCAGACCCTCACCATGCTCGGTACAACACTGTCTTTACCATCCCGGTCACTGAGGGCCCCGGCCGCTCCCTCACCACTTTGGAGATGTAGTCACGACCGTACAGGTAGCCGTTGTCGATCATCTGGTCGACGACGAGGCTCATGTTGGCCGGCAGCAGGGCCTGCAGGTCCGGGTTGGCCACCACCGTCGAGTTGATGACGCTGCCGGCCAGCTCGATCATGTGCACCGTCTCGCCATAGATCTGCCGCCAGCCGGCCGTTGTCAGTGAACGGTGGGCTCGGACCGAACCAACGATAGCCGGTGAAACGAACGCGAGAACGGACATGGAACGGCAGGCACGCGGTAGGGACGGGAACAACAGCGTCATGTTCTCATAACGGCTTCCCACTGGGGGAACGTGACAACTGATTTATACGACCTGGACCGAATACGAAAATCTGACCAACACAAGTACGCGAAAATACAAGTCTGTGCTGCATGAAGTTACATGCTCATGCTGCACTTAAGCACACTTGCCGGATATTGAAGAACATCTATGCACTCTATAAACGATCACACTCAAATACGCTCAGCAGCACTTAACCACACATCAACCTGCACAACTCAACCATCATTGGCATCCATGTCCACACAGGCCAGCACTGGACGCCGAATCAGCGAGCCTTCATCCCGGGTGAGCGTCGTGCCTTCTCTGAGCAGCGCGGACGGCCAGCGTACCTGCACGAACGCGAACACGGCGGCGACCGAGACGAAGACGAGCGCGCCGAGCACCACCAGCACGGTGACGACGGCGTCCACCGAGCCCTGCACGCCGGCGATGACGTGGGCGTTGCCACGCAGCACCAGCTGTCGACAGGCACCGGCTGAGCGGTGACGGCCAGCCGACAGGCTCAGTGGGTGGGCGGTCAGAGGTCGGCGGGTAGGCGGTCAGAGGTCAGCAGGTGGGCGGTCAGAGATCAGCGGGTAGGCAGTCAGAGGTCGGCGGGTGGGCGGTCAGAGGTCGGCGGGTGGGAGGTCAGAGGTCAGTGGGTAGGCGGTCAGAGGTCGGCAGGTGGGCGGTCAGAGGTCGACGGGTGGGTGGTCAGAGGTCGGCGGGTGGGCGGTCAGAGGTCAGTGGGTAGGCGGTCAGATATCGCTAGGTGGGCGGTCAGAGGTCGACGGGTAGGCGGTCAGAGGTCGTCGAGTGGGCGGTCAGAGGTCAGCGGGTAGGCGAATTAAGGTCGGCGGATGGGCGGTCAGATGCCAGCGGATGGACGGTCAGAGGTCGGCGGGTGGGAGGTCAGAGGTCAGCAGGTACGTGGTCAGTGGTCGCCGAGTGGGCGGTCAGAGGTCAGCGAGTGGGAGGTCAGAGGTTAGCCGGTAGGCGGTCAGAGGTCGGCGGGTGGGCGGTCAGAGGTCGGCGGGTGGGCGGTCAGAGGTCAGCGGGTGGGCGGTCAGAGGTCAGCGGGTAGGTGGTCAGTGGTCGCCGAGTAGGCGGTCAGAGGTCAGCGGGTAGGCGGTCAGAGGTTAGCCGGTAGGCGGTCAGAGGTCGGCGGGTGGACGGTCAGAGGTCAGCGGGTGGGCGGTCAGAGGTCAGCAGGTGGGCGGTCAGAGGTCAGCGGGTGGGCGGTCAGAGGTCAGCGGGTGGGTGGTCAGGGGTCGGCAGATGGGCTGTCATACAGTGGGTGGCCGGCCACAGAACGGAGAACAGCATCACTGATAGGTGATTCCTTAGCAGTCGATGAAATTATTATGATGAAATAATTATAGGTATACATCAACTTGTTTTATCTTTGCAAATAACAGAATGTGATATACCTTCAAAAATAGATATAACAAGATAGATAACAATTATATCCATCAAATGTAAACTTAAATTATTATAATCGCTAAGAAGATGAGAACAAAATTGTCATGTGCATATTCCTTGTAGAAATAGCTACACGTAAAACGGATAGTGACCGCGCCCCCGCAACGGCGCATCCAGCCTTCGGCCTTCAACGTCCACGACCGGGAGACCAACAGGCCGCGCCCACCCCACGACACCACCCACCTCGCAGCGCCGACGGATGTCATCAGGAGGCCGTCCACCTACCTTCCAGACGCCTCGCACGGGCAGAGGCATGATGCCCTCCTGGCGCTCCAGCAGCCACGAGCGAGCCGTCCCCAGCACAGCCTGCATCGAGTCGCTACCCCCCGAGTGCCAGAAGTTGATCACTGCGGGTGAAACGCTGCTGATAGGAGCGTGGACACTGTACCGCACCTCAGGCGCGGCTCACCGCTGGGCCTGTACAGCACCTCAGGCGCGGCTCACCGCTGCGCTTGAACAACACCTCAGGCGCGGCTCACCGCTGAGCCTGAACAGCACCTCAGGCGCGGCTCACCGCTGAGCTTGAACAGCACCTCAGGCGCGGCTCACCGCTGAGCTTGAACAGCACCTCAGGCGCGGCTCACCGCTGAGCTTGTACAGCACCTCAGGCGCGGCTCACCGCTGAGCTTGAACAGCACCTCAGGCACAGCTCACTGCTGAGCTTGAACAACACCTCAGGCGCGGCTCGCCGCTGAGCTCACGGGGATGGCGGCAGCGATACCAGGCGATCTGAACTTCATGGGGAGGCCGTGGCGGGGGGAAGCTTGAGTTACAACCGCCGGCTTGTAAGTTCGAGCACTCAGAGCGTATCTAAGAATCCCGTCTCTAATCGGCGGCAGGGGTGATGACGTCAATACAAGCGGTGGCGGCAGAATACAGAACACCACTGAAACGCGAAGTCTCAAACGCAGACCAATGACTAGCAGTCTGTAAGCAAAAAAACAATTTGGTACAGCATCTGAGATTTTAGGCTGAATGACATGTCATCAACCAAAGAGTGCCAACTCTCGCTTAAGCGCGATTTGAGCTTTTTCTGATTTTTAGTCACACAACGCACACCTGCCACTATCTCCTGGTAAGGGACGGAAGCAGCATCAGAAAGCAAAAGCGCGTGCTGTCCGGTGTCGCCTACCTAGCCGCTTGATGAAATAGTACACGACGACGACTGGCAGCATGGAGATGAGCCAGATGCGCTGCCACACGACGACCACCAGGCAGCAGTACGCGACGGCTGTGATGTAGGTGGTGGTCTGGGAGCAGAGCTCCTCGCGCTGCCCGGGGCTGGCGGTGTCCGGCTGCAGCGCAGCACCGGAGGCGGCGCGTCAGCCGGGAAGCAGGCAAGTCCAGAGGAGCCGCACAGATGCGAGCCGCAGCATACGTCAGGAAGATGGGGGATGCGTCAGATGGACAGGGATAAACGAAGACGTCAGACGCCGCAAACAGAGGAAGAGTGCAACTGATGGAGCGGTAGACTTCGATAGATGTGCCAGACAGTGCAAAAGGGTGTGTGAATGAGCAAAGCTCGGCAAAAAGGAACAAAAAAGAAGTCAACATAAAGCGTGAAAAGTCACACAAAACTCTTCAACAGCCCCGATGATGACAAACACACACACACACAAACGACATCAAGTAGAACTATCATGAACACAACAAAATTACTTCCAGGAACTATTTTACCGCAATCAATCCAAACAGTCAATGACACCCTAACAACGGAGAGCTTCATCTTCCCGATCTACTGGCGCTTGGCATACCCTACCACCGGACCAAGATCGCCCGAGCGATTGTCCTCTGCAGTTCGGCTACGTCTGCGTTACCATCACCACCGCAGGACCCTCACCACCGCGACCAGGCCCCTTCAGCGCCACCCTCACCCCCAAACGGCCCTCACCACCGAGACCAGGTCCCTTCAGCGCTACCCTCACCCCCAAACGGCCCTCACCACCAAGACCAGGTCCCTTCAGCGCTACCCTCGCCCCCACACGGCCGCGGGGACCGAGGTGCCCGCCCGCGGATCGGTCGCCCCGGCCGCCGGCGCCGCGCTACCTGCGGCCGTGACGGCAGCTCTGTGACGTCATCGGATCGGTGCAGGGTGTCAGTCGAGGCACCCGCCGTCGTGTCGGTCTCCTCGGCCCGCAGGGTGCGCGGCCGGGCGCGGATGAGCGGTGTGGAGGTCATCCCCTGAGGCAGCGGCCCTTCAGAGGTCACCGAACGCAGCTGGCTGGTGAGGGAGTGGGCGTGCGGGAGGTGGGGAGGCTCTGGGCTCCCGGGAGGGGGGGGGGGCGGAAGTGGCTGATCTGACATGGGAGTCTGATGGGTTGTTTTAGGAAAGAAGTCACGCCTACCAAAGTGAATCTTAATCAACTCATGGACTCAACGTACCTGGAGGTACATAACTGGAGGTTGATGTAAAAGGCATCGTTACAGTAGATGCGTTTCAAATTGAAGGGCGTTCATAAGGTGTAATCTAACAATGCATTACTGAACGAAGCGGCTCAGCCCAATAGAAGCAAAAGCAAGTGCAAGGCCCGAGAAGCAGCACCACAATGCCGAGTTCCACCGACTGCCTCATATCTCTTAAAATTAAAAAAAATACAGCACGGTGTCCAAGGCGATGCAAGTCTGCCATTCTGCAGTGATTTCGTGTACGGCGTGCACAGCACAACTATTGACAGTTTGAGACAATCCTGCGATTGCATGGTCTCCCATCTCCCCCCCCCCCCCCCCTGTCCACTGCCATCACCTCCCACGTCAGCGCGTTCTCATCTCCCACAACGCGTCTCACCTTCTGCGCCAGGTAGCCGGCCGAGCGCGCGCTCGTCCGAGAGCCGACAGGCGTGGTCTCAGTGACGGTGGGCGTGTGCTCCGCGGCCGCGGACGCACCCTGCCCGACGGCGACGGACGCCTGGGCCTCGCTGGACGTGGTGCGAGCCTCGGAAGGCGTGACCTGGGCGCCGGTGGGCGTGGCTTCCGCGCCGGTGGGCGACTGGGCGATGGAGGAGGGCAGACTGCCGACCGAGGCCTCGGCGCTCGTCGTCTGGTCGCTAGTCTCCGCCGCCGACTCCTCCGACACCGACTCGACAGCCGACTGAGTCTGCACGAGCGGCGGGGGAAGGTCAGCAGGACGGCCGGCCAGCACATAGAGGGTCAGCGCGGGAGCCGGCCAGCGCACAGAAGGGTCTGCAGGAGAGCCGGCCAGCACACAGAGGGGTCAACAGGCGGGCCGGCCATCACGCAGTGGGTCGGCAGGAAAGCCGGCCAGCACAGAGGGGTCAGCAAGAGGGCAGGACGGCGCGCAGAGGGGTCAGGAGGCCATACAGCAATGATGCCGGGTCAACGACTGTGACTGGAGGAGGGATGGTGGTAAAATGGTCTTGCCGTCGTCCACATGCAAAAATACGACATGCCCAATTACTATCGTTGTTCATTGCAAACGTCCGCCAGCTCTCAAATGTCAGAGACTGTCCAGAGGATTCCTCTGAAAGACAGGACATCGTCGCACGCAATAACATGAGTTCAGTTGGTACTGCTATTTACCGCGATCAGCAATTTTTGCAGTGCTACTCGGTGCGTACTTCGAAATACAACACCATCATATTCTGATACGATAAGACAGTAGTGATAGCCTTATTCCCCGTCGAAGTATCGGGAGAATAGAAATAAAGATGCGTTGATATTTCGGCAACATGCCTTTCTCGAAACAAATAGCAGAAAGGAATTCTGCTAAAAGGGATTTACTTACTTTAAAGAGTTCACATCTGCTATTCCTTTCGATAAAGTTGCCGAAACATTAACGCATCTATATCTCCATTCTCTTGGTTTTTCTACGCGGAACAACGTTATTACTGCTGTCTCATCTACATGCATAGTGTTGCTCGTAAATGAAACAAATTACGTAGTATTCTGATAACGGTTTTGTTACAAACCTGACCGAACATCTCCCAACAGGACAGTTTGAGCCTATCCGTCCCACACTACGAACAAAGTCGCCAACTAGAAAGCATTTCCTTGGGAAGCGGATTGTTTGCATAACGGGGGGGTGGGGGGGTGGGTGGGGGTCATGTGGTCAGGCTTCCCCCGACTCCCCAGCAAGCTGGCGCTCGTTCTACTCTAAAACAATGTACATGCCATGTCCGTATTCTTCACCATGCACTTACTGGGTGTGTGGAGATCGTCTGATCGTACATAATCGCCATGATTGTCTTGGACATGGACACATTGATTCCTGGAGGGCAAACGTACGGTTAGCACGCTCTGGTTGGCGTTAGAGCTAACACAAATCACGCTCAAACTCAAGCAAGGCTCCTCTACCGCAACGTGCACCTGGTATCCACATAAGGCACCGCCTCTAGCCAGCCTACCATCCCCGATCGTAACCGACACCAGCCCCCTGTCTTTGCCCTCCCGCCCCTAAGCGGGCGACGGACACGGCTCGGAGACCGCTCCGAGCCGAGCGACAGGCGCGCGCTACCGTGCGCATCTCGACAACCCGAGACCGGTCGTCCGCCCCGCTCGCCTGCGGCGACGTCCGGGAAGCGACCCCGCCGCCGCCCGGCCGCGTCCCGCTGCGGCCGGCGCCGCCGCACTCGCCTTCGTTCCGTTCGTCGCGCATTCTGGCCAGTACCTCGGTGACAAAGCCGACGGCCATCAACGCCACCAGCGCCACAAAGATGGGCCCGGCCAGCGGCCCGGCCAGGCCCGACAGGAAGCCGAGCAGCAGCAGCCACGAGGGTATGGCGAACCGGCGTGTGGACGGCGACCAGAAGAACACCACCGCCGTCACGTAGCCCAGCAGCAGGGTCCAGCACTGACGGCGCACGACACGGCCGAGACCGGCACCGCTTAAGTAGTGCGTTTAACGCGCGCAGTTCGGGATAAAATGATTGGACGCTGGCTGACGTTGCAGTCCCAGTATTGTAGCTTGGCACCAGCTTGCTAAATCGAAACGTGCACCGTTCGAGCAGTACGCCGCGTCATCTATTGCATGACATCCGCCGCGCTTCCTTTGACAACTGACTTCCTTTACCAAGTCCTCTGACAATTATTTACCGAAACGGGCGACATTCACAGCTCACTGTCAGTAGCAGATCACTGGCGCGGAACGGCACCGGGTCAGCACTTACCAGCAGCTTGTTGGAGAAGATGCTGGTGAGCAGCCAGAGCAGGTTACCGACCACACCCTGGCTGACCAGCCAGACCAGGCCCACCAGCACGCTGGGCGTGTAGAACCAGGCCACGTTCACCAACGCGATGGCCACGACGAACGCCGCCAGCGCGCGGATGTGTCGCACAGCCGCGTTGCCGATGGCGTCGGTGGTGGCGTCGAACGCCCACACCGGGAGGAGCAATCCGTGCACGAACAGCGGCGTGCTGGAGTGCTCCATCTCGAGCAGCCAGCGGCGTGTGGTGATCGCCAGCCGCCGCTTGGCCGGGTACATGACCGTGCCGAGCAGCAGCGCCCACACCAGCGGCTTCATGAATGGGTAGAAGACGTTGTAGGTGGCGAAGCCGATGCCGCCCACCACCAGCATGAACACGAAGGCGGCCACGTTGAAGAGCGCCTGCTTGGCGACTTTCTCATGACTGGGCGGGATGTAGCTGAAGACGCTCTCCAGCGGAGTACGGGCCGTGCCCAGCTGGGAGGCCATGGCCGGTAGGAGGGCCGCCGAAGTGGGCTCAGCAGGTCACAATCAGACACTGGTTCTGCTGTCTGTCTTGTGTAAGGTTACCAAATCTGTAAACCACAGAGCCATGATGCATGAAATGACCAGCGTGCATTTCTAGTTCAGTATGAGTCAGTAGATCACTGGTCTGATCCTAAGAGTAAATGGAAAAAACATTCTATGATCAGAATGTATGGTTCTGTGCTGGTGAAAGCATGCACCCTGACAATGTTGCATTACATTGTTTTGTATTTCAGGCAGATGTGTTTTAAGAAAATACTACCATATCATTGTCTATCCTCTGAACTTGATGAATGGTTTCAACATCTCAGCTAGAACTTAAGATAGGTGTGAAGTTTTTTCATAATGCAGCTGGGTGGGCAGTGTTTGGGCTATCATGTGAAGGTCAAGTGGTATTTTCTCTTGAAATGTACATGGAAAAATGGACCTATCTTTAAGTAATTTGCTCAGAAGAGCAGCACCATCTGGCTACAAAGAGACACACAAATGCTGAACTTGCAGGTGGAATACAAAGAGCAAGTATCACATGCATATCTGAGCTACTGAAACATGTCTGAATGACCGAGCCTGTCATATTCATGAGGGCGTGGACAGGCAAGCAGACAGCGCAACTGGAAACACCACAATCGTTCAGTTCTTGTTGGTGTTGATGTCCCACTTTCTGGGGTGCCAGTTAATGATCCTGCACAAAGCTGTAACCAGGTGAGAGGGGCAGTTGTTGCCTATCCACCCACAGACAAAAAAAGGAACTTGACTCAGACCCTGAGGACCAAACTGTAGTCAAAAATGATACTTTTTGGGTGCATTAACTTTGATAATACAAGTGAAGCCTTAAGTATCCTTCAACACTAATTTAAGCCCCTCTTAGCATGTAAAACCACACACCTGCCCTTTCTCAACTATTCTTTCCTCCTGACCTTCCTGTTTCCCCCTCTCCTCCAGGTAAATAGAGCAGGAAAGGCCTGGACCAGAGAGCCTTTTAGACCTAGCCTGAGCCTCTCTGTGTCACACACAGATGGGCCTCAGACATGCAAATTGATTTGACCCTTGTGCAACACCAGTATTTTGCTGCCTGTTACCATGCCAGAAATACAAGCCAGCACTGATTTCACATTAAACATGCTGGAGCAAAAGTCCAAGAAGGGAAACAGTAACTCTGTATGCAGCCTACAGTCTATCATGAGGTTGCATCTCTCTTACAGCCCACCCATAACAGCAAACCAAATATGATCAAGTTGTATCTTGTCATCTTTGCATGCATAATTAGTGTCAATTCCCCTCCCCATAGTCTCAGAAGAAGAAATTTGATATAGCCAAATAAACTTTGTGTCCAGAAAGACATCCATCCAGGCAGTGCCAGCAGGTAAGTTCTGCCTTTAAGGTGATGTTGTCACATACACCTGAGCCAGATGTTTGCAATGGTAGTCAAATATGAAGCATTGTTTCTATTGAAATGGATTTATCAGTTATAATTCAGTCGCATAATTCAATGCTAGGATTTCATCTGTTATTGTAAAAGAACAAGAAATAAACCACAGTGTCACTTTGTGTAGAGCCTGTCCAAGTATCCAGGCATGCATATGTACCACATAACAACCACTGGCACTAGATTTCAATAACAAGCATTTTATTCATCTCCTGACACCATCAAACTTATCAACCAGGCCAGTATTTAATAAGTCAATTCACTGTACAGCCACTGAGTGCACATTAATCCATATCAGTGTCCAATGTGCAGCCACTGAGTCCACATGAATCTGCATCAATGTCCACTGTGTACCCACACTAACATGACACAGGTGCAGCAAACCCTGTGCTCGTGGGTGCTGAACTCATGCCAAGCCAAATCGCGCTGAGTTTTTTTTGTATGACAACTATTAGTAGAATACTACTTTCTGAAAGAACTGGTTCTGAGCATTCCTATTCATGACACGTATGAGCTAACAATTTTACAATTCTGATGTCGCTCTGATACATGTTTGGCTTCCTTGCATTTGTGTAGTGTCACAACCATCCGAACCAGATACCCAACGAGCTGGGTGACGCAGACACTAATAATTTGGAATGAATTTACCAGCCACTAGTAACATGTATCAAATGAGAGAACGGATGCCGAGAAAAGCCACACCATCTGCCATTCCTATGCTACAATAAGATCTGAATACTATCGCACGCACCAACGAAACCACAGAAGAAAACATATCCCATAGCCCCACAGTGTATGTTTTGCATAACAAACCCTGCGCTGCGTCTCGTAATTTACGCGCTGTGTATGTCGGCAGCCCGACGAATGGAGCAGGGTTTAAGAAACATTTCCGTGAAGTTAACGATTTATTCGGCGATTTATTCAGCGACAAGTTACGATTTCCCTGAAAAGGTGTCAAGTTCAAGTATGGTGCGATCACATCAAAAATGACCTTTGTTTTGCAATGCCATGTGACCTCCAAAGTCAAAATTTGGGTCGAAGGACGGGAAACTCGATATCATCAAAAATTACCGGCCGATTTCAAAACTTTAAACATAAAAAATCGCAAGGGCAAGAGCCAGCGTCCGTCAGAAAGTCCTGACCTCTGATGGTCACCGTTCAAGTTCCAACGCGGGCTGAAGGGCGGGAACTCCATCTCACCCAAAAAACAGACCGATTTTTGCCTTTCACACATCAGAATGCTCAGTACATAAAACAACTAGTGTTCGTCAAAAAGTTCTGATCTCTTCAGGTCATCCTTCAAGGTCAAACGCGGGCTCAAAGGACGGTGAACTCGATATCACCCAAAAATTTCCCGGTACATTTTACATTTCAGAACATCAGAATATTCACAACAGAAAGGACTAGCGTCCTTCAACACATCTTGACCTTCAAGGTCAATTTCAGGCTCAAAGGCCGGGGAACTCAATATTACCCAAACATTTCCGGCCGATTTTAAACCTGCAAATGTCAGAATTATCACCGTGGAAAGAGCTGGCGTGCGTCAAAAACTCCTGACCTCTCAAGTTCGCCCTTCAAGATCAAAAGCGTGCTTAAGGGACGGGCAACTCGATATTACCCAAAAAATTACCGGCAGATTTCAAAACTCTAAGCATCTAATTATTCACAAGCGCAAGAGCTAGTGTCCGTCAAAAAGCCCTGACGTTTCAAGGTCGCTATTCAAGGTCAAACGAGGGCTCAAAGGGCGGCGAACTCCATAGCACCCAAAAATTACCGGCCGATTTTAAATTTGCAAACAATAGAATATTCACAACAGAAAGAACAAGCGTCCGTCAAAAATTCCACACTCTCAACGCCACCCTTCAAGGTTAAACGCGGGCTGAAAGACGGGGAACTCAAAATCACCCAAAATTTATCTGCCGATTGGAAACGTGCAAACATCAGAATATTCACTACAGAAAGAACTAGCGTCCGTCAAAAACTCCTGATCTCTCAACGCCATCTTTCAAGGTCAAATGCCAGAGCAAGCACGAGGCATGAATGCAAGCACGAAGGCCAGCGCTTCGTGCTCGATGCTAAAAAAGTGCTACACATTAATAAGCGATTTTGAACTGAAATAGCCATCTTTAAGATCACTCAGTGCATTTTCACCCATGCAGCCCTGATGCCGTAAGAGCGTATTCATATACCGCCCTTGCACCGGTCGTGCGGCAAGCTAGGCCAATATGAATATAAATGTCGAGTCGTTCATATCTGGTGTTTTTAAGTAGTTTCCAAATATAGCAGCCGTCGATTGGCTCCGAATCAATGTTGTGCAAGGTTCGATGACACATCAAACAATTGCGCATTGGGGAACACATTGACTAGAGAAACTGTGTTGCCCAGAGCGGCCTCTCCCACGTAAAGTATGCAACAGTTCTAAGTGAGCTTACTTCATCATATCTGATGCCTGCTTCAATACATATGTGGAACATTCCTTTTAGCCCCGTCCACCTCGTCACCCCAGCAGAGGCCATTTTAGTCTTCTCGCTGTCATCGCCATGGAGCTCGTCCTTGTCTAATTCGTTGACCCGGTCGTCCTCGTCAACTTCGTTCAGGACGGGCACTGGAGGCATTGAGGCTGCTTGCTGGAAAGCGTTCTCCACGTCGTCCGCATGCACTGCCGCTCTCACCACAGTTGGATCTCGGATCTGTGATACGGCGAAAGACATTCATTTCGACGTGCCTAACAGACAAATTAATCAGACCCTAATAAATGTCAGCAGTTTTGTTAGCCCTTGTGAAAGTAAAATGTCTCGGACCAAGACATGCGTATCCTTGTTTTCATACACAGCCACATTTGTCTGTGGTCCAGCGCGACATTATCAGGGCAGCTAAAAGGGACGATCAATGGCGCACGAGTACTGTGCTACGTGCGCCTTACCGATATCTACCGCTTACGTTTTGTACATAACACAAACCATACATGGGCCGACCAAACCAGGCCATTTGGGCGAGGTGAGCACAAGCAATCATGCCGAAATATTTCATGGGTATCCCCCAACGGTCCGGCAGGCTCTCCGTGTTCTTTGCAGTGAGCTCTGTTCCTTTGTCTTACTGTAATTCATCGCCACTTTTACGATTACCTGGATCTGGAGGCCTTGCAGGGTTTCGTTCGTCAGGTTGTGTGGCTGGTCCAGACGCCGGCCCTTGCTCAGGAAAGCTGTGTTAGGCTCCAGTCGAACGGTGCGGCCTTGCTTGTTTGCAGCCACCATCAGAGGTGGTGCCATCAACAGCACTCGCATCCTCCACTGCGCCTCCAATGCGCCCGGCGCCGTGTTGGTGACGCCAACAGCACGGATCTGCGAGAAAGGGACCTTCAAGACGGAGGGGACCTTGGTGAGAAAGAATCCTGCCGATTTTGTACACTCTGAGAGGTGCCTTCTCTGGCGACAGGAAGAAAAACATGTGGCCTGTACTGAGGTCCCCCCCCCCCCTCATGGCCGCACTTCTGGCCGTAAGCACGGATCTGACTGAATGGCCCCCTTTCATGGTCCCATTTCAATCTATTGACTGCTCCAGGGGGCTGGCGCCGCCATTGCTGTCTCCCGACGTAAAAGTACACGATAACAACAGCACGGCCCTTCAAGACTAGTAAAGTCTCTTTTGACCCTCCCGCTGCGCGTTAGGTGCAAGGTCTAGATTTTAGACAGTGTTTTTCCACGACGTTACTCAGGGGCGGATCCAGGATTTTGTCAAGCGGGGCCACCCAACATTGTGGGGCCTCCATGAGTTTAGAGCCCCCAAAAATCCTCAATGCCTGGCTATATGATCTTCAGATTCCTAGTATGCTGTTTTTATACAGAAACCTTTCTTATTGTACGCATCGCTAGAAAACTAGGCGTGCTACGTATGCTCATACTTGGGACTTATTAGTGTTCTTTGGATCATCGTGAATCTTGTCACTTAGAGGCTAAGGTTTCTTGGAAAAAATAAGCAAAAACGCCCAAGCTGGCTGCTGAATATCATAAAAATCAAGCACGAATTTGATTCAAAAATATATACAGTTAGCCGGCTGGTCAATGTGATCAGCTGGTGGCTGATAACTAATGCAGAGTATTCGCTTTGTTTGTTATGAAGGAGTACAAAATATCCTAGCATTAAAATGCATCGTATGAAATGAACAAGAATGTGATGCACAAGCATACCAGGCAACAAATTCAATAACCAAGTGAAATGTTTCATACGACGGCGGCGGCACGTAAAGTTACCTTCGACAGTTGCGCGTAAAAATTCATCGGCGCATATCCGACTGCTGCTCTGGAACCTCTGCTCCGACTGCTAAGGAACCAAAGCCAACAGCGACGGAGCCTGAGCGATCATGGGCGTCGGCAGGCCCAACACACAGGCTTCCGTCAACTTGCACGGGTCCTTAAAGCAAGCGAAAAAAACGTAGGACCAACGCAAGGCCCCGGAACGATCTGGGTGCCCCGGCAGGCGGACATATAGGACTCCAGCCAGAGCATAGGACCCTTTGAGCAAAGGGGTCAGTGAGCGCGTGGGCACGCAAAACCAGTGTGCGTGAATGAACCCCCTGTGCGATCGAGAGTGCCCAGGGAGGTTAACGAAAAGAGGCACGATAGGAGTGAAGAGTTCTCCGCAAACAAAATCAAAGTGAAAGAGCCCGAGATCAACGTGAAGGGTCCCTGAGCATCGAGTGGCGCAGCGCCTTACATTATATTGGCCTCAACAACAGCACAAGGCTCTCTGAGCAAATGGAAAAACCCAAGAACAGTATGAGGGGTAACTGAGTAACCCTGAGTAACTGAGTGCACCCCGACATATATACAAAAGTGTATGGAGCCTTTCAGGCAAATGGGAAAAATATGTGAAAGGTGCCTGAGTAACTAAGTGTACCCCGGCCCTAACAAAAGCGTATGGAGCCTTTTGGGCAGGTGGGAGCAATACGTGGAGGACCCATGATCGATCAAGAGTGCCCAGACGTGTGAGCAGATAGTGCGCTAGCACCAGGGTAGGGCCCTACGAGAAAATGCAGACATCAAAGGCAACGTGCAAGGCTTCTTAACGATCGGATTGATCCGGCAAGTAGACATATAGGGCACCGGCAACGGTGTGACGTCTCTGGACAGCACAATGCGTTTTTCTGCTCACGGGCTTCGCTTTCGCTTGCGGCTGTTCTTGGTCGTCTGGAGGCCCAAAGACGTGCAATTTCGTTGTGTTTTGTGTTTGAAAGCTGCGTCTATTCGTCTGGTTATGGGCCCTCCAGGGCCTATGGGACCCCTCGGGGCACAGGGGGTAATACCGTTCCGTGTCCCCCCTCCACACTCCCACCCTCCAGATTCGTGTTTGGCCCGAGCAGTCCAATATATGGTGTGCCGACAAGAACATGGGGCCATCCATTCAAATAAAAAACACCCAAGGCACAGTGTGGAGGGCCCAGGAATGATCGAGTAGGCCCGAACAGGTTAACAGATGGGGGCTTCTGACAAGAGTGTAAGACGCTCCATTCAAATACTAAGTAACCACGGCACAATGTGGAGGGCCTCAAACGATCGAGTGCACCGGAGCAGGTTAACAGATGGGGCCACCGACAAGAGCGTGGGACCCTCCACTCAAACAGGAAGTATTCAAGACCCTGTGTAGATGACCCCCGAACGACCAAGAGTACCAGAGCAGGTTATCAAAAGGGGTCTGATCAGCACAAAATTTCTGAGCAATGACTTAACATGCGTTTGGGTAGTTGGCGTCAATTTGATTTCCCGACGGTTTAGTTTTTTTGAGCGGTGGAGCTGTATGTGGTCGTGGGCAATTGAATTGCTCACCTTTTCGTATGAAAACATGGATGTACCTCGTAAGTCGCCGACCCACGGCAGAGACCACGACATGACATGACAGGGGCCATCGTAAAAAGTAAGCAACTTTGAGACGGCTTCTTAGACAGACAGACCTTTAGAATTGGGATCATGGTTTATTTCATGGACGCTGGATCAGGTATGAACGTTAGATCAAGATCTAAACCAAACCATTTTGTTACTGAAAACATGCTTTATGGCGCATTTTCTAGCGTCATTTCGAATTCTTAGATCACTACGAAGTCACATCATTTTTTATTTTGATTTCATGAAGTTCAGGGACGGCCACTCACCTTAAAAACCTCGATGACCGTTTTGCTCTGAGGAGCATGTAGTCGTACAACCACCTAGCATGGTCATGCAACTACCATGTAGCCATAACGGGATATACATAAGAAATGAAATAAAAATTGATGTGATGTACAGTTGTGCTGAAGAAATTAATAACTTGGCGACTTTTACTTATGGAATGAACCGCCAAACCCGCAATGTAGTCAGCAACACCCACTCAAAGGCCTGTGGGCTTTCAAACGTGCGCTTTGCGAGCGCGTGGGTTTAAAAGTAGCAGCTCTAAGAGACACGCTACAGATAAGTTTGACAAATAATCCTCACGCGCTCTTGGTATACGAGCATGAATGGACTCTACGATATGCATATTCTCAAAACAGATTATATTGTGTACGTTAGTGTGTTTCTCGGCAACCGCCTGGAGCCCTGTTGCGACGAAGCACGAGGCGGCGCCAGCAAAGGTGCATTTATGCCAATACGCGAATTGCGATGCTATGTGTAGTGATATGGCAATGCCGATGAAAAATTTGATCATGAAAAAGGAGACACCCTTAACCACCAGTCCTCAGATACGTCGCCGATGACCCCACACCGTCACGTCACCGTCATGACAGGCGCGTCCATGGCCCTCACACTGTCATGACAGGCGCGTCTGTGGTGTTCGCCATCTTTATCAGTCTACCACAAGATCGACGAGCGCCAAAAAAGGTTGGTTCGTACCAGAGGTGCCTATTCAGCGGACGGACTGCGGCCCCTCCCCTCCCCCCTAACTTGGGTTTCAGCGCTCTCCCCCCCAACTTTGTGAACAAAATGAGCAAAACCCCGAGAGACACCTGTTTGTGGCATCTTGTGGGGGCAAGCTGGGTCATTTTTCACCCTTTCACTACCTCCCCCCACCCCCACACACTCATTCTGTGAAGCTAAGCCCCTGGTTTGTACATCACGTCATCAACCTGTTTTCGAGCTGGTGAGGGCTGTTCCGTGCCCCTTAAGTCACAATCCTGCAGCTCTAGCGCGGCCCACGGTCCGGCACCAGCGGCCCGGCCGGCCGCTTGCGTCTGCGCGCCGTACACGAGGCCCCAAGGCCACCAGTCGGCGTTGGCTGGGCGGGAGTATTCCATGCGCTCAGTGTAGATTCCCCGCCGGTGGTTTGTAAGGTTCGGAGGTGTCGTGGTTGGTGAAGAACAACCGCCGCAACCATGACGACCCTGGAGACGAACACCCTTAAGGTGGAGAACAGCGCTCTGTACCAGCCGCCGCAGGTCGAGATGGCCGTAGGTAAGCCACCGCAATCCACCCTAGCTTGGTACACGTCCGTATGGGTACATGGTCGACACCTGTGCCGGTGCGCGCGCTCTCGGACAAACTGAAGGGCACATCATCCGAGGACACCCGAGCCCTAGAATAACTCTTCCTCAGCTCATTGCCGACTACGATCGCTGACCTGCCCTCCTTTGTCGCGCGGGTGGTGCCGGGTAGTAATTGTACCCGCCGTGACGCACATTGCTCAGCGTCGTCTCCATTGGTCAGGTGGCAGATCATAGCTGTGGCCTTGGCGACAACCCGTGTCACAAGTGATGGCTGATGTCGCCATCCTGGAATGAAGTGCGCTGTTGGTCCCGAAATAACCAATGTTAAGCACGCGACGGGGTGGCCAGTTAAACGCGGCGCGCTCGGTTGGGGTTTAAGTGAACACCCTGACACCTCAAACACTAAGAGAGCCGGAGACAATTGCCGCAGGGTGGATAGGGCTCTACTTGAACTCCCATGGGGCAAGATTTTGAGGTCGCCAGGTCGGTAGAAGAATTAGCCAGATAAAATAAGGTCAAACTCCAGATCAGTGGCCGAAGTGCCCTCAGGTCTCCCTACGCAACCAGCCTTTACCTAGAGATGCCTGTTACAAGAACATTGTTACTATTGTTAAGACCAGGCCAGTGATGTTATTTTAACAAATGTGGTTAGCATGAGCAAAAACCTTCGAGGCCATCTTGATATTTGAATTTAAAATCGGCGCCAAATGCTGCCCAAGGTGTCATGTTCCCCAAATAAAAGGATGAGCAGGGTTATTTAAGTCAGTGACCCTCCCTAACCTCCATGAAGTCAACGTTTATTTTGTGACGCGATTTAGGAATTTGAAATGAGCCTAGAAAACTACGTAGAGACAAAAAGTAATAGCCTCATTCCTCGTAGAAAAACCAGGAGAATGTAGAGATCAATGCGTTGATGTACCAGCTACATGCCTGTAACGAAATGATATGAGTAGCAGATTCAAAATTGCCTGCCTATCCCACTCGACCTCTCAGTTTTTTCTTCTTCTTTTTAACAGTGAGCCACAGTTTTTTTTTACAGACCGCCTACATTCAGGGAATTAAACGAGAAGCATTTGCCAGCCATTATTGCGGTACAGTGCACAGATAACTAAGAACACAAGTACGCCAAAAACACGTGTACATGCAAATGATTCAAATAAACAGGCATCACGTTTCAAGGTTCGTCCAAACATGACTTCAAGTTAACGGGCATCACGCATCACGCATCATTTATGCATGCAAACAATTTCAAGTAAACAGGCATTGCGCTATACATATGAACGATTTTTAAGGGAATGCTCTGCATTTGAAGATATTGAGATAAGCATCAGATATGATGTAGAAAGCTTGCTTGTAGCTTTTTGTAGGCTTTCAGTGTTCAGAAGCGACCCTAAATAGCACAGTTTCAAAGGCTTGTAAAACTGCTTCACATTACGTTAATGTTTAATGGCGTCATGGAATCGTTTTGTGGCGACAGCAATACCTGGCAGCATCTGGCAGCTAGACTTAAAGAATGCCTCGAAACGCACGAAAGCGAACGCCAGCCAGCCATTCTTGTGGTGGCTACTGTGTCGGATGGCGGGTTAGCGGATGGCTTGTTTGTGGATTTTTTGTCTTGGTACTGGTATTAGGCTAAGTTGTGGTCTACTGTTTGACATACGCAACGTATCAATCGCCAGTTTTTATGGCAGATTATTAATATCAAAGCACGACATGCTGCGAAAATCGTCATATAGTGTCATGAATCTTGTACCGAAACCCGCCAAGGGCTGTGGAGGATGTCAATACTGTATTTTTGACTTATCATTGCATGCAGCGCTGTAGTCCTGGCATTGATATCTTGCGGTGTGCACAGTAGTTACTTTCTCTATTATTTGTAACTGGGAATGCAGTCAGATCCAAAAATTAACAATAAATTAGTAACATCGTCATGAATTTATTGCCAAAGCATTGTTATTGCTTTCCTACGGTAAATATCCTTTGCTTTGGTTAAGATAGGCAGGTGGAGCTACCGAGAATGTCTTTCCTGCCCAGGATTATTTATGCAATCGCTAGTTAACCCTGGTATAGACATTGTGATTCACTGGGATTTTTGCTGACATTAGTCCTTTGGCACGGTGTTTGATCAGTTGTTATCAGTCATTTATAACTTGTAAACTGTTATCTCATAGGTTTGACAAAGACTAGTCAACCAATGTGGCGCGTTTCGTAATGGCATCTCATAGGCTTGACGTAGACTAGTCAACCAATGTGATACATTGCGTAATGGCGCGAGTCAATGTCAGCGGCGTCGCTGTGGCAATACCGCAGTACGGTACTGTGACATGGCATAATGAACAATGATACAGGTTTTGTTTGTACTGCGGTCCCCGCTTTCATAATAAATCGATCCCTGCTTTCATAACAAAGTCCATGGCGAGAAGATGGTTCTAGAGTGCACTATTGTATTAACTCCGCATCCGGCATATGACTGGCCAACAATATACGACACAATACACAAGTCGGTTTCAGCAAAGCACACACAGTAAGTGATGTCACTTGCTCAGCCTGTTTTGCGAATACGCAAAACTTGTGTGGCAAAGACACAAACACATCCTTGGCAGATTCCGTATCTAACGATAATGAAAAGTAACATTTCGCTCGCCCACGAATCTCACGTGGCATTTCATCAGGAGCTTCCGGCCCTCTGTGAACATCGCCAAACGTCCACCCGGGGCAAGCAAAGCGGAGCTAGCTAGTCATGACAAATGTAAACTACTGGAATCGGCTTGCTGGGCGCGGTTGTCCGCCAGGCTCTCGACTCCCGCCCGGCCAAGGTCCGTGGTCCACGATCGGGCGTGCCACACCGTGGTGCTCCGACGGACCGGTGATGGTGACCTGCAGACGCCTGTCCACGATGGCCTCCAGAAGCGAGCACATGTGCAGGAAGGCCCTCGATACCTTCACCGGCCATAGGATGCACTGGTCGGGGGCACGGCTGTAGACGCGAGACGTACAGGAACCATGCAACAAAGTCAAGTCGTAACAAATTCATATTGGCATCCATCACCATGGCCGACAAAATTTTTCCCACAACAGAATGTTTCTGACAAAGAGCAAAATCAAGTCAAGCACAGAACACAACATTACAGGAATGACTTTTCACCAATTAATTACACCAATCCGTCAGACGATGTCGTTTTTTTAACTTCGTCCAAACAATTTTCCATGAATGAATTTCTGGGATCAGTGTTCAAAATAACAAAACCTGGTACGCACCTTGAGCACACCAACTGATGGTGGGAGTACAGTCTGCAGGAGAATGTGTGGCGTTTCTTCACGAACACCTTGCTTGGCAAAGTCCATCCCTTCCTCTGACATCAACTGGCCTTGAGCTGCCATTGCCATCGGATGCAAGCCATCCCAGCCATGGGCAAAACAGCGAGCAACAGAGCTGTTTGCGTTCACCCACCGCGCCACGAGTGCTCATGAAGACATACAAACTGAGGTGAACAAACGTTACTGGGATTCACCGCCAGATGTATCGCATTCGTTGCATTTTTCAAAGGGCGTTTATTGTAATAATAATTTTCTGCTCGTCCTGGGAAAATGAAACAAGAACTTTCTCGTGTGAGCCCAACCTCTAAGGAAGCGACGATGCCATGTTTAAGTGAAGGCTGCTTTTTATATGATCACAGGACCACCAACTATTTCCTGACTACCATCCACTACTTTAACCACCTTCAGCCAGCACGCATTACACATCGAGACAATTATCACATTCGCGTAATCGGCTTTGATGAGCCGTGTGCATTAAGGTCCGGTTACCGACTTTTTAGAGAACAAATTCACTCATTTTCCTGTTTGGATTGCCCTGTGCTTTCTAGGAGACTTTGAACTCTAAAATGGGTACAGGGTCCGTATCTCCTTGGATTTCAGCCTGAACGTGTTTTATCAAAACATGGTCACCGAAGCGGGTATTCCTGTTTTGGTTTTAATGTCTTGCAAGTGTTGCATTATATATCAAACGAATAGGGCCCCTGGACTTCCCAACGTACACTATGCTCCCCTCATGTTTTCCACAGTTTACACTGAATTTCGTCAGTCACCTCTTTGCGTACAAATCTTTTGAAACCCACTCTTGCATTATATCGCTATTTGTCCCCTACGCACTTACGCTCCGAGATAGAAGGCCTCACCAGAGACCTTTTTAGCCTATTTTCGTTCTTCCAAGTTGTCCGCACACGCAGTTTTGGTTTTCTAACGATAAATCGCTGTCCCTATACCCTATATACTCTTTTCGGTGACCTTTCTTTACAAAACACGCTCAGGCTGAAATCTAGGGCATACGGACTCTACCCCTTTTAGAGTTCAAAGGCATCTGCGGAGCACAGGACCATTATTAGACAATTAAAACTGCGCGTACGAATTTACGGAATTAATTGTAAACTATAGGAAAAACATGGGGCAATATCGTCTATGTCGGGGAGTCCATGTACCCCATTCGTTTGAAATACAATGGACGCTTGCGGGATGCTAAAAACAAAACAGGGGATATCCATTTCGGTGACCACGTTTTGACAAAACACGCTCAGACTGAAATCTAGGGAGGTACGGACCCAATTTTTTCACCCAAGTTTTTACCCAATTTTACCCAAGGACCCAAGTTTACCCAATTTGGAGCTCAAAACCACCTACAAAGTGCCTGACCGTACATACAGGAAAATAAGTGAATCTATTCTTAGAACAAGTCGGCGACCAGACCTTACCGTACAGAGACCGATCGTGGCCGATTATGCGGTTGTGATTAGTGCCGTGATGTGTGATGCGTGCCAGCTTAAGATCGTTGGCATGCCTGTGAAACGCGATGCTGTTTAATTGGAATCGTTTGCATGTATAAGTGACGCGTGATGCGTGGTGCCTGTGGACGTGAACTCGCTTGCATGTGTGATTGGGGCGCGATGTTTGTGGCCTGTTTGGCTTCAATTCGTTTTCATGTGCGCGTAGTTTTTGCGCATTTTATTTCTTAGTTAGATATACACGGTATCGTTGCAATGGCTGGCAGCTGCTTCTTGTGCGATTCCCTGAACGTTGGGATCGAGATCGAGATTGAAAAGGATTTGTGGGGAGCTTTGAACTTACTTCTGATATTTGTTTCAAAAAGGCATGTAGCCGAAATATCAACGCATCTATCTCTCCATTCTCCTGGCTTTTCTACGAGGACGAAGGCTATTATTACTGTCTAATCGACATGCGTATGGTCCCGACAAATGCACTAAACAACATACGCAAAAAATTAAGTCATAAAACAAGTTTTGCAGTAATACAGGGGTTTAGTTTTGACCTTAATCTGATCTTTTTTGGCTCGAGTTCAATGACATTAATTGTAATCCTAATTTTAAATGTCTATATGTCTAAGAAGCCATCACAAAGTTGCGTCACTTTATCGAGACACTTCGTTGTCGCATCATATCAGACAATCCCCTAGAACTGCCTTCGCTGCCAGCCATTGCCTGACTTTGACCTGCCATAGGTCATAAGCCTTGCGAGATATGTTGGACGGAATTATCGGATATTCAGTTGCTTACAGCTATGCACAGTTGCGCCGCGTAGAAAATATTTTGCAAAAACCTTTGGGGGTCAAATTGGCCCCCACCCAGGCGAGCGCGTGTATTGAATCATTGCGTAAACTTTTTGAGTGACCTGACCGCGCGTGGACTGCATTTTGGGGGCAAAGTTAACTGTAAGACTGCAGCAGCTCAGTTGAGCTCTTTTCCAAGAACGTGTCTGTGATCACATGGAAGTGTGCTTGTGGAGAAGGAGGCACGCATGTCATGTCGTTGAGATGATATACCGTTTGATGTGGTTGGTTATCTTATGCGTGGTAGTTACTTCATGCGGGAGGCATTTAAGAACATTGAAACGAAATATTAATCCAGGGAACTGAAAATGGACTGGAAGTGGGCCTGCAACCTGTGCCGTATTTTGGACTGAACCGGGCTACATTCAGGCCAGAATGTGGCACATCAGCTTTTTTCGTGTCGTTTATCGTCGGGGCGGTCGTAATAGCGGTACGTTTGTTACCGGTGTGTTTTTGTTTCGTCATGTATCTATTCGTCATTTAACGTTAGCGAATGCCTCAGTCTCGCGGGCCGCTGGTTCCAACGCGTGGCACGGCCGCGCCAACATTCAAGCCAAGGTCAACACAGCAGAGATTCGGTGCATCAGCATGAACTCCAGGGGTCTCTGGGAACGTTTTCTTGCTACTGGTTAAGTCTGATGAGCATCACTTTTCAGCTCGAGGTGTTTTGAGCATACGCTGCCACATGCGTTCTCGGCTGTTGCGTAGCATCGCTGCCCGCACCGTGCGGTTAATGTCTTCTTTTCAGTAAACCATATGTGCTCCGCCTGCAAGAGCCCGGCGACGCGTAAGGTGGTGTAGGTGCATGTCGCATAAGGTGTGGTGTAGCAGCCGTGACAGGCGAGGGTTTCTGGGCTCCTAAATTAAATTATTCTTCAAAGGGAAAAAGTTCCAAGCGTTTCTGTAAATTGCCTCCACTTGTCGGCTGCTCTGCTCCGTGTTAAAGCTCTGCCACAAGAGTTATTTTAGAGCAAAAACATTACTCACGGAAGATTATAGAATTGACACAACTTTTGGAACGTTTTTAGTCGTTTTGTGAATACCGCGTTGTCGTGTTGGTGGCTTTGCTCCTGACACTGCGTATGACAGGGCGCGAATGAGCTCCACCATAGCTGAGCTGGTATTTTCCGCATGTGGGTCGCTGCATACAAAGAAGTAAAGTGTCGCTGCAGCTGCGGGATTGTGTACACCACAACCAAACCCTCGCTGTCCCGCTCTGACACTGCATTTATCATTGGGACTAGACGACCGGCATTGCACGATGCGTAATGGCGCAAACTACGATGCGCACGATGCGCACGATACGCACGATGCGCAGAGGCGCAAGCCCGGACCGTAATCAACAACGTGCTTTCTTGTGATGCTTCATTTTTACAGATCAACCCCATACAACGGCAGTGCGACACTACCGCATCCTTCGACCTGGAATTTTACCTTGGGTTTTACTTTGACTCCGGTGTTTTTAGAAGTCCAGACTTGAAATGACAACGGGATTTCTAATGACGCCTTGTTTGTACAAATCCGTCTCATACAGCGGCAATGCGACGCTACCCCGTCCTTCGACCTTGAAACTTTGCTTTCAGAGCATTTTACCACTGAAATGGACCTTGAAGTTTGACGTTTAGGTATCGCAGGCTGAAATTGATGGCTGGCTTCCAGATAAGGTCCTGTTTAAAGACATTAGTGTCATACAGCGTCGGTACGGCGTGCTTACTCGGTTTATTAAGCTCTGGAGGTCTATCTGTTTGAGGAGGAAGAGAATGGACGTGATTTCCGTCACCAGCGGGCTGTGTTTGACCCATCAACTTGTTTTAAGCGGAATGGGCACGCGGCGCTGAATTCGAATACGAATGCGTCGCTAAATTATGGACATTTAGCTGAGACCCTTTCGTGTGCGCGTCAGTGCTAGGTTGCTGGCCGTTAACTAGTGCTGCCTGTCGGGTGGCAACTCGCTCTTTACGACCAGCGGCAGGCGTTTCTGTCATGCAGGAATGCTCGGTATGCGGTGAGTGGTGGACCTGACGTGGGTTTAGTTCAGGGCGTTCCAAGTTCAGTGCAGCTCATGGTGGCTCAGACCACCAAGTAGTGGATGGCATATAGCGTACTTAAAGTTGCATTGGCTGCACATTCGGGTTATGCCATTTTTATTCTTTTGGTGGTATATTTCCGATGAGTACATACCGGACTATAACAACAAACGCTAGATAGTGGCAGAATTATTGATTTGGCGGCAGGAATGTACCCAACCCGGGGCACATCCCAGTGTACCCAACTGTGCTCAATCCACGGCTCATGCATGTGAAGGACGCCAAATCCGAAGGACATGCACCAACTCACACGGTGGAATGGCTGCGACGATGATGCCGAAACTGAACCACCTAACTCATGGCACGAATGGTTCGAGACATTGGTTGCGATGGACAGATGGAACCCGTAGGCTTCATGTGCCGTATTTTAACACACACTGATTCTGGTTGCTATCTTGTCCGGAAAGGCAACCAAATATTGAATTAGTGGAGGCACTCGCCCCGAGCTTTGATGCCGACTATTTAAAGCACCAAACTCGCGCGTCTTATCATATATTTGCTGGGGTTTTATTACATATTTATTATATTGTATAACGCGGGCGAGTGCCTCCACTTATCCTAGATTAGCGGAGGCACTCGTCCCGAGCTTTCATGCCGACGATTTAAAGCACCAAACTCGCGCGTGCCATCAGATCTGGAGTGTTTTTGTTGAATATGTATTATTTTGTGGTATGATTTGTGGTATATCATGTTATGATCATGTATTTATATATGAGTATGCATGGGCAGGGGCACCTCCGTCCAGCGAGGCCGTCCGCCAGACTAGGAGCCGTTGGGGGCGGCAGGGTGTGGTAGGAAGGAAGCCCGTGCGCGCGTGTTGCTGACCACTCCCGTGGCTCCTCCGTTCACAGTGCTGGAGTCGGCGCTGCGCGAGAACTTTGCCGAGGCGACGGTCCGCATTGTTGACTGTCCAGACCTGAGGCAGGAGCCGTTCGGTCTGGCCGCCGCCGGTGAGCCACACCTGATAACCTCTCGTCTGACGTGTATTATGATCTTGCCTCTTATCTGAGGTGTCTTATGATTCTGGCTCTCGTCTGACATGTGTTGTGGTT